GGACGACGCACGACGGACGACGCACGACGGACGACGCACGACGGGCGACGCACGACGGACGACGCACGACGGACGACGCACGACGGGCGACACACGACGCACGACGGAAAATGGCATGTTTGAAACTGGTAAATGGCAGAATTGGGACACAACAAAAAGCAAAATGCGACGGACGACGGGCGACGGCAGATATGGAATTCCATACAAAACACCCTTCATTTTCTGTTTATATGAAAGGTAAGCCTAATCGTCAGAAAGCTACCAGTGAAATGTAAAGGAAAGTCCTTCCCACATGCCTGATGATCGGAGTTAGTCTTGCCAAATGTTCTGCACACTGCAGCATCACGAAGCAACATCCTCCTCGTGTTTCAGTTCTTGTGGAAGAAAATCCTGATCTAAAAAATTCTATAAACAATTCCAGAAAGATCTTGGCTTTCTCTCTTTTTTCGCTGAATTTGGTTCAACGAACAACAATATTGTTCTAGAGAAACCCCCTGAGAATACGCGCATAGAGCGACAAAAACCAGGCGAGCACTTGCTGAACGTTAATGCTCGGCCTTCACTGAATTTAGATCAATCTTTCCTTCGTGATTACATGGGAGCAACCATCATGTGCAAGTGTTAATTTGTTCCTGATGATCACTACTGCAACCTTTGGGCGGTAATTTGAATGTGGTGCACTGAAATTATTGAATATTTTCGATAAAAATAATCAAAGATCGTGGCAATCTTCAATGCATAGGTTAGCGTTTTGTTCACAAACTTCCAACACGGGATTTTTTCCCGTACATTTAGGTGAGTGAAAACATGAATTATTCATGAGGCGAACTGCTGAACTTAACTCCAATGACTCAGCATACCGCCTGTGTAGCATAGTGCTCATGTGCATTGAGACCGCGATCCGATCACGCCATGCCATCTTCAGCCGGCGCAGTTTTGATGAACGCAAACAGCCGGCAGCCAGTTGTATTCACCTCAGAAAATGTCAGCTATCATGAAATGCTGAAAATTCGGTTGTGCATTTCTTTCCCTGTATTATTAAACTTAAATAATGTTTTATTCAGTTGCTCTGGTAAACATGATGTTTGTGCATGTATCGTGTTGCTTAGCTTTGTGAACAATAAAGATCATGAAGGTAGTGGTCCACGTCGAGAGCAAACACGCTCGTGACTGATTTAGGCCGATGCGGGATCCGCAGATCTGGCTGCAATGGCAAGTGAAAATCTCGTCGGGGTTTAGTGCTGCAGTAAACCGCATTTCATTTACTAAATAATTGTGAATATACTGCTGCAATTGACACGTACACACAGACTTCATCTCTCTCCAAAACCATTGCATTCTATGAAGCGCTTCCTGTTGTATTTTAGTTCTGCGTGTTACCATTCATTTGAGCTGTTATCAAGGATAGGGTTAAAAATACATGTATGCTGTCCTCTTCAATTTTGAATCTGGATATTCCAATATGCACAATTGTTAAAAATCTTTCTTCCGATGTTGTAAGAGTAAGAATTGGATTTCATTTTCTACACAGGCATTGAACTTGCTCAAATCATGAATCAAACCAAACTTCAGTGCATATAAACTATTCAGAAACTGGTGAGGACACCGAGTTTCTAGGACAATTGAGTTGAATTGAAAAGAGAGGGAAATTAACCTTTGACTTGGTTTAGATAAAACATGAAAAAAAACCAGCAACTTTTTGATTAACAAATTAATTAAGGCTAGTCGACATCAAGGGACAGTGCACATTTCGCCGATGTTCAATGTACATGTTCAATGTACGTATATATACTGTACGCACATAGCTTACCATTGAGCCTAGTCATAGCTTGGAGTACTACCAAAAGAAATGGTATCCAGTTGTTGTGTTTGGGGTTGTACAAGACAAAGTGCAGATTCCAAAGAGAAAGAGATCTGGTCCTTCAGATTTCCAAGTGCAGAAAGCAGTGAACGGAATGGGTACTGTACATATATATTGAACATCAGTACGTGTTTACAAATACGCAGGTTGGCTCTAAGAACACTATCGATGTAATTTATACTACATACATGTAATATGATGGAAAGGGGCCATACTAAGAAACGGCGATCTCGTACGCACAGGAAAAATCACGATGATAAAATCTCTTTACAAGGCACCAAAACCCTGCTGAGATTAGAAACTAATAGCAAAAATGATTTAATGGGATTTCATGAACAAAAAAAGAACAAAGCCAGAAAACTTGAGAGAAAATGATCATCAAAGTCGCACCCCTATACCTTTTTAATGGCCCTCTAACACTTTCCTCCGGGGCCATTTGTGCGCATGCGTGTGTATATTATGAATTTTATTAGTGAAAAGGTCTATTATCCCTAACCCTCCTAAGGAAAAAAACTACGCCGTCAGGCAGCAGACATACTGATCTTTTTTAAGGTACTGCGCGTGCTCAGAACTATGCAAGCGTCCTCAGAACAATGCGCGCAAACCCAGAACTAGTAAAAAGGACAGGTAGGTTTTGTAGCCATCGGAGCCACCGAGCGTCTTAAAATCTCCCAATAGAACAGGCTTTATACACAAGGAATAATGGAGCTGTTGTATTACAGAATATATTAAATGAACAATGTAACCTGTTGACAATTAAGTTCATCGTATCTCCAAAAAATGACCGTTGACACGAACGAAAGGCCAAACTGATAAAGATCTTTAATGTTTTGGTGAATCCTATATTGATTGCACAATTTCATAACTTATGACTAGTGAATATTAAATAGAATGCCTGTGAACAATATAAAAACATTGAAACGCACACTAAACTTGCACAAAAACGTAGTGCGTATCATTATTTCTATAATAAACCAAATATTAGCCAAGTCGCAAAATGATATAATATTTCAGGATATTCTCATTACATCCATTTCAAGGATGGCGTCATTTTGAAATGAAATATGTCAGGATCTCGAATGTCACTTCCTGGCCCCAAATGTTTGTAAGAGTAGTAGATGAAGTACACATTTGATGTCAAGGGGATAATGGAAGGTGTTTACTGCCAACTCAACTAGCCTTCAAAATACTGAGGACTGCTATGCAGTGGTGCAACTACGCGGGGGGGGGGGCGATATTCCCCAGCGGAGGTCCGTGC